GAAATCTGTCATATGGCAAAAGATATCAGTGACGTCACCTATTGTTATTAATATGCCAACCAGAGACCTATTGGCTAGTGAAACAAAGAATTCATTTGTTTAACGCTTTGAACACTTAAATAACAAAAACAATGTTTGTAAACAAATATATCCCTCATAGGTTTATCGTGAACAGGAACTGAATAAATGATACTTGTTTTTTTGGTCAACATCTCTTCTAAGGGTTCATTCCAAGGGTTTAGAAAAGAAATGCAGGGTTCTTAAGTGAATATGTGAAAGAGGTTCCTTTGTTCAATAAAAGGCAAATGAAAGGGGTACCTTGTTTGTCAAAGTGGTATTCAGAAAGGTAAGGGGATGGACCTCGGGGCAGAGACCCCGCGATACAAAACTTTGTAGAGTACCCCCGGTTATCATGGTCATCTTTCCTTGTGTTATCCCAATTTAGCACCCATCCGTACAAATCCTTCTAATCTCAAATTTCCAAAGTATGCAAGTTCACACATGAAGTTGGCCTTGGCTTGGCTAGTATTGAAATAAATCTCTGACAACTATGCATGTTTCAAAATAAAAACATCCCTTTTTAATTAAGGAAGATTTGGTCATATAACATCTGATTGTTGCATGTGAATATATTAAAGTGGTTTCCTACAATGATACATAATTTTCCACATTTGTCTCATCACTCTGGCTTTCTTTTGCTAATACCATTCACAACACTTTGTTGATCACCATAAACTGGTGTTTTAGCCATCCCATACAAATATGTTGCCAGCATCACCAAACCAGCCCCAGAGACAAACGGCACACTAAGTTTGAAGCTGAATAAATAAACAGACATTACACAAGAAATCACAATAGCAACTGCTGCCGCAAATCCCTTGAGGATATTATCAGCGTACTTAACGACCACACCCACCAGGAGCCCACCAAAAGCCTGCATTGCAATAATTGCCCAGACAAGTTTGTGGTATCCAAATAGAATGCCTTTTTCTTTAATCTTGTCTCCGTCGTTTATGTACATGCCAACTGTGCCAATGATGACGCCAAATGTGGCGAGCTGGAAGTTCCTTGCCCAGAGAGGAGTATGAGTGCCTTTGAGGGTCTTTTCAAAGTAAACACCTGAATGATAAAAAACAAGGTCGATCACTTAAATGTTCAACAATGTCATATTTATCTCTTGATTAGACTTGAATCACCTCCCTTTGTTAAATACAGTAACAGGTTTGTTGAGAAAGATGTGAAAAATGGAGAAAAATAAATACAGGTAAAATTGCTATGTGAAACCCAATTCCTGTTAACATCTCACTCCATTAACTATTATCTCTTGGGAATCGATAATCTACCAGAAAGCATATCTTACAACTTACTAGTGATGCTGCTCTGCATTAGCATATAGGGCATACAACATACATAACACAGGACGCCTATCAAGCTGACAGGGTTCACACTGTTTTTTTGCCCTAAAAACGTTCAGGACTTTTCAAGGTCATTGCAGGACACAATTCCAACTTTTCAAGTCTTACAAAGTTGTTTCATGTTTTTTGGATGTATAATAAATCAGCCTCAATAGCACTCTTCCCACCCTCTGAACCACCAGCCTACATGGTCAAGGCAGCATGAAAGAGGCCTCTGCAGAGAGGACAGCCACAGTGGTCAGCTCTCAAGAATTGTAAGGGTTACACTTCACAAGCAGCAAAAACACTGTGCACTTGTCTAGTCATTCTCATAATGCCAAAAATAATTTCAATGGAGAGCTACATGTAGCTGTTGTGGAATCAGCACTTAAATGGTGATCAGAGTGTTTTTTTAAGCTAACCAAACTACTAAGTAAAAACCTGGTTAACCATGACTATTTCCCTTTATTCATGACTGTTCATCACTAGTTGCTGTTCATTAATCACATTTTCAAATGCTCATCTTCCATTTAAAATTAACACACACACAATCAACGTTCAACTGACCTGCAAATCCAGAGCACATACTTGAAGCCACAACAGCGCAAAGACCCAACAGTCGATTCTGTGTTTGGGACAAAGGGTTCTGTGTCGGGAGAGTCTCTTCAGGACTCTGTGCCACAGGACCATCAACAGGCTGCAACTGAACCACAGACACACCAACAAACAACATGAACAGAGACAGCCACTGAACCTTGCCGATGGACTTCTTCAACATGGCAACTGAGAACAGAGCTGTCATCAGAATCTTCAGCTGATAAGACACCTGTTGAAGGAAATTACAATAAAAGTATAAACAATACAATGTATTAAGTAAATAGAGGATATTACATGCCCACGCATGGATATGAATTTTATCTTCGAGTGTTCAACTCGATATCTCATGAGTGAGCGCAGCGAAAGAGTGAGATATGGAGTTGAACACGAGAAGATAAAATTCATATCTACAAGCGGGCATGTAATATTGTTTATTATATAAACATAACAATGATGACGTTTTTGACCATTTTCTGAAGATGTCCGATCACTTTCCGAAGATTCCTGAAGATTTTCCAAAATTGTTCCGAAAGGCCAGACAAACACTTCTGAACATTTTACAAACTTTAAAAACTATAAAACTATAAAAAGCGCAATATAAATTAACAAATTATTATCATTATTATTATTATTATTATTATTATTATTATTATTATTATATTGTTGTTTATAATTTTATTTGAGAAACTTCTGGTGATACAAATAAGATCCTACAAGAACTTCAAATTAACGATACAGCCATCAGACTGTAATGCAAGGTTTGTGAGATTGGTCACATGACTTGAGACCATATATTAAATCAAATTTACAATACTACAGTTAAAGTAATGTTGTGGTACATGTACTTTGTAATAAATTGCAGCACAATTTACTGTCAGACAGTTAGGTAAAGTAATATAATCCATTAGTCCTGTTTTCATTCAAGTAAAAGTAATCAGTTTTTCATAACTGCACTACACAATTGGTTTAGCAAAACTTGCACCAATTTTTCATTCAATCAGCAATAAAACCAAAACCAATCATGACTCAATCACACATGTTGTCCTGCACTTCACATCAACAGCTACATGTATTTACTTAAAACTGAGTTTTGATTGGTTCACTGTATTCTGTGTCCTTTATGATTTGCTAGCGTGATTACTTGGTTTTGGTTTTACGACACTCAGTTGATAACTGCTCTACATGCAAGTAAATGCAGACGCTATAAACAACAGTAATTATATAGTAGGTACTGTGTGTCCTGGAAAAGAGTTTTCAAAATTGAAGGCACCTTGGTGTCTGGCTGGAGTCTTCCCTGTCTTGGGACTACTATATAAACTATATCTGTGCTAAAGCTAATAAAGTTCTAGGTTTGATAAGGCGAACCTTTGGTCCAAACAATCCTGAAAAAGTTTCAATAGCATATAAGACTTAAGTACATCCAATTTTGGAATATAGTTGTCAGGTCTGAAATCCATATTTAGTGAAACACATTAAAAGTATAGACTGAGTCGATACAGAGGCGAGCCACTCAAGTCATTTGTGGATCAGAGAAAGAATATCTGGAGAGACTTGGGGTCCTGAAATGGCTTTCGTTTGAGTTACGAAGGAAGTTTATCTGCTTAGTGCAGATGTACAAGATTATTTTCGGACACTGTGACATAGATCCTCATATGTTTTTTGATTTTAATGTATTAGCGAAAATCGCTACATAGCTGACTGGAACGATATTCCATCGAACATTATGCATGCACCTTCATTAAGCAGTTTTAAATTCTATCTATTAGATCATTTGTGTCAATTTTAAATCATGTGTAACTCGTGAGTGACATGTATGCAATTTAATTAGGTTAGCTTTGAGCCGTATTTAAATCTTATTTCATAATTTTTAGTGTCAAATTAGTTTAGTATGCAATATAATTAGGCTAGTTTTGCGCCGCACTTAAATTTTACATTTCACTTCTTAATTTTTTTTGGAATGTTTAATATCGGAGAATATTCTTTGTATGGGGATTTAGTTTCCCCCAATTATTCTCCAGACTGTCATGTACTTTTGCAATTTCCGTGATTTATTTACTTGTACTAGCATGACAAAGTATTATTAAACTTAAACTTAAACT